CTAGAATTTTTTGCGCTCTATGATTTGCTCAATAGATTAAATCACATAAAATGCCCAAAATAAATAAGTAAAATGTTTCAATAGCAAAATAATAATTAATAGCAATAATTTTATTAACAAACTGTTAAAACAGGTAAAATAATAGTGAATAGTGAACAGGTAAATTAATAGCGGTGGGGAGGGAGCACAAAAAAAATATAACATGCGGGCTCTGAGGACCCCAGGAGCGTCCCTGGTAATAATGTATATCAAATTTTCACTAAGAATCTTAGTAAATAAAATATTCTATACTAAGATATATGATCATAATAGAGAATAAAACTAATACAAATAAGTTTGATAAAGAATGAAACAGTGAAAGTAAAATACGGCAAATAAAAAATGAAATAAAATAATTGACCAAATGATGGGATAAGAAGAGATGGGATCTAATAGATCATAATGTATGTCCTATTTGGATAGCATTCAGTGGCGGATCCAGGGGGGGGGGGTCACGGGGGTCATGACCCCCCCCCCTGAGCCTGTTTTAGGACTTAGATAAAACATTAATTCAACTATAAAATTACTTCATAATGATTTTATTTATGTATTTTGTTACCAAACACATTTTATAACTTGAATATTTAACTGATTGTAGACGAATGGCGGAGTCAAAAACCCTAAAATTTAAGGATTTTCTAATCGTATTGCGAATATATATGTTATTACAGTTTAGAAAAGAAAAAAATCATTCAAAAATCAAAAAGTAAAACTGATTGTGAGTGGCCCTTACGCATGAACTTTCAGTAATTCTAACATCTGTAAATAGACTACTTACTCAATATATGAACTAGTCGTGTATGGCATCGTGCCTTAAGGCAAATTGCTGGAACTTCTCGTACCGTAACGAAATGTTCGACGAATATTAAATGTTTTCAAATAGATTATTTTAAATATTGTAACAAAGACTAATATTTATAAGAATCATATAAACTGAATTGCAAAGTTAAAACTATTTATTTGAAGTATATAAGTTTTAAACTTCTGCAGAATTAAAATTAAAATCTGAATTAATTTCGATATACAAAAAAAGTATTTTTTTTTTTGAAAAGCAATTATTTTGTCAAAACAAGCAAAAAGTTCTTTGAATCATTCAAATCGATCGCTCAGTTCTCTCAAAAACTGCCATTTTTTGCATTTATTTCAATTTCAAAAAAAAATCATTTTAGATTTTTTGCTCATTATTATAACTACCCTACGGGAAGTTATTAATGACTGATTTATAAAAGTATACCTAATCGCTGTAAACCATTATAAAGTGAGAAACTAATGCAAACTATTTTTTTTTCAAATATAGCAGTTATTTTACTTCCCGAAGGAGAAGTTTATGTTTTCATCAAAAAATTCTGAATCAAATGAGTCCAAATTTGGAAAAAGTATGTGTGTGTGTATGTGAACAGATTTTTTGCCGTAAATTAACGATTTCTCAGAAACGGCTAGACCGATTTCAAAAATTTTAAAGCCATTCGATGTATCTCGTGCGACGATCGGCCAAGCCGTTTTTTCGTCTACGTTTTAGCCCGCAATTATGAATGGATTTTGAAAATTCAAAAACCGTTCAAAAGATATTGGTTGGGAATCGCGCTGATTAGTTTTTGGAGAAGATCGGCCAGGCCGTTTTCTTGTAATAAAGTGTTAAAAAAATTTTTTTGGCTATTTATATTATTATTTTTTTGACGGTAGATACCATAGTCTTTTCGATCATACTAAAATTTACGGCCCTACGACAATTGGTTCAACTTTGAAAATTCGTCAAAGTTTGCAAAAATTAGTATCGTTTTTTGGCATTTGTCAAAATTAGACCTTTCATCGACGATTGCTCAAAAACGCCTGAACCGATTTCAGAAATTTAAAAACCATTTGATGTGTCTCAATGAGGACTATCGCTTGTCACTTTTGTGTGACGATCGGCCGAGCCGTTTCTTTAAAATTTGAAAAAAAGTGTTAAACTTCTGTGATTTAAAAAAAATTAAAAACTGTTTGTAAGATATAAGTTGATTGATACTGATTAGTTTTAGGTGAAAATCTACCGAGCCGTTTTCTTGTAATTTACTGTTGAAAAAAAATTAAGACAATGTTTATGGAACTTCTTTTGGCGATATATACCATGGTCTTATATAACTTACTGAATTAATAAGGCCTTACGACAAGTAGTTTAATTTTAAAAATTCATGAAAGTTTGAGAAAATGAGTAGTTTTCTTGACGTTTGTTAAAATTAAAATTAAACGATTCACTTGGTATAACGATAGAGTACTTAGTCTTAATAAACGTAATACATCATTAAAGTCCTACGGAAACTGGTTCAATTAAAAAATTATTGCTTTTTGAAAATTTGCTCTTAGAAAATACTCCGATTAACGTGTTCGTTCGTTTTCAATTATGTGTAATAAATCCACTCGGAATACTTCTAATCACTCATGAATTAATTTATTTTCTATTGATTAAGTCGATTATTCAATCATATCGGAAAGTTCATGTAACTTGCCTCAAGGCAAAATACCAAACCAACTAGTTGAAAAATGGTTTGAATATTACACATTGATGGAAAACGAACACATACGAAATACGAAGCCGAATACATTTTTTAAAAGCACGGCCAAATAATCCAAACTTTAATTATCATAAGTAAACTACTTGTCGCAGGCCTTAATATAGTTTAGTACGTTCATTTAGAACAGATACTTTATCGCCATGCAAAGTTTCACTTAAATCTTTGCCAGAAACCATTTATTTCCAAATCAATCGAATAGTTTAAGCAAAAACGGTTAAGAATTTTTGACAAAAACATGGACGATAATTTTTGCACTTTTCTGCCAATAGTAAAGAAACAGATCGACCAATTGTCTCAAAAAACTAATCAACGCAAGCGCTTATCCAGTTTCATTTTATAGTTTTTACATTTTAACATCGGTTCAGACGAGAAAACGTCGAGAAAAGGTCAAATTTTGACTCACATCAAAGACGCAGATTATTTTTAAAGAAAATACACATATATAAGGTTAGGCGGGTCCAATTTAACTTTGAGCAATTTAATACATTACAATTTCCAGCTAATTCATCACTGTAAAAATGTGTTTTTTGCTGTTAAAAAATTTGTCACTTGGTCATTTTTTACCCCATAGGCGGGGTAAAATCGGACGACGAAAGGACAAACAATCCAATTCCCTATTTTTAATTTTAAAGGGATTTAACGAAATAATAGCTACATTATTCTACCAATGAAAAATATAAATTTTATAGATACATTTTTTAAAGCGATAACTCTGTATATAACTTTGATTTGATATTGTGTTCAAAATATTCACCAGCAGTGTTGGAATAAATATTTATTTAATTTATCTCTTGTAAAAATGCTTTTTTTAACGTCGTAAGAATCAGGGTGATGGCTGGTTGTACATTTTTCCCTCTACTTTCAAATAGTGTTGTTATGAAATCCTTAACTTTACTTGTTTTTGAGATATCGGTGGTGGACCTTTTTACCAGCAAATCTCTAAACTCCGTTCTATTTTTATATATATATATATATATATATATATATATATATATATATTAAATTTGTTACATACTCATTGAGGACTATAAAAATTTATGACCCCCCCCTGACGCCGAAGCTGGATCCGCCACTGACTAAGATAAATGTAATTTAGATATTATATTTACTAAAATACCTACAAAATTATAAAAATTATAGACAACATTATTAGAGAAATTATTATTAGAAAAATTCAAGATAATATTGTACTTTTACCGTGGATACTACATATTAATTTGTTCTGAATTTGTTATACCGTTTAAAAGGCTTAAATTTCTAATATAGTGTAGGAATTGAAGCTCATCATTTTATTTAAAGCAGTTCTACATTTAACATCGCTCACATTGATTAAACTTAAACACTAGAAAATATAACTATGAATTTATATCATTTACAACAATTCTTATTGAATGTTGAGTTCAAAAGATAATAAATTAAAGTAGCACAATAAGTGTTTTTCTATGAACTCAATGTCAGATAAACTAAAACAATGATGTCCGCGTTTTGAGTAATTAGTTCCTAAAGCTTATAATTCCTGTATAAATAAAAACTTGATTTCGCAGGTTAAGAACATTTTTATATTGATTTTTTAAAGTTAAAAAAAAAGAGTTTTCTCAAATAATTTTAAATATTATGGAATATGATGTTATTAAATATATAAATTGTTAATGAATTCGTTAATATTTTTTTGTAATTAGTATTGCTATTACAGTAGCAGAACAAACAATTATATTTTAGTCTTACTTAATAAAATGATACAATTCTACAACATGCAATACATTTCTATGTAATAATGAATTTGAAAGCTAAGTCTGACGTGGTAATGCATTCAATTTTTTGTCATCACGCACAAATCATCATATTTCAGCAAAATTATATTAATTTTTAATATATAATTATTAACAAATTGATAAAAGGCTTGTTAAAATGTTTATGATTATGAATAGGAGACTTGAATGAAAACATATATTAATGAATAAGCTTCAAGTGCAAATGCAAACTATATTAAAGTAATTTTATATAGTAATAAAAATAAGGATTGCAGAATTAAAAAATTAGTAGAATATATATCAAATATGAAAATGAAAACATATATCAAATATGTATTAACTAATGTAGTGTATATATACAAGTGCCCTCTGGATCCATAATATAATGTGTTAAATTATATTATGATCTACGAATACTCTGTGCATAAGTATACTCTTAATTTGCGATTACATACATAGTTTAATCATAAACACGGTAGTAAAAATATGAGCAATGATTAAAATAAATAAATAAATATTATCTGCCCAAAACATTAACAGTACGTTATCTTAAAGTTTATTACCTCTGACGTCCTTGATAATCTGATTAAAAAATTGTATATAAAGTAAAGAGCTTTTTCAAAATCTCAAATATTCACAGTGAAGTAAAGTGTGCAAAATGAATCATTTGAGGGAATTTGTGATCGTGCTGGTAAATAATAAAACTATAATTATAATAGTTTTCATTATAATATTTTAATTTCGTGTTAAAGTTTAGTATGATGTCTATCAGTTGAAATATGTATTTGTGGATATCATTTACTATAGATCGCAGTGGGGGCGGTGGCTGCCAATTATTCGCCAATGTATTTACGCGGTGCTCCCGTAATGCAACCAAGGATGGCGGCAGCAAGAAATACATCTGCTCCCCCACAGTGCCCAAGTGGAAAATTTGGCGCTATGTGTCATGATTGCAATACCATGCTGGTAATTTTATTAGATTATTTACAATTAATTTCATATACATTAATATTTTAATTAAAAATTATTGCATATATCATAGTAGTTATAGTTAAACATATAGTATTAGCACTAGATTTACGGATGTTGATGGCATATCTATTTTTCTGAAGTGAGCTCATTTTGGCTCAACAAGAAAATTGTTTTTTTTTTGAAAAAAAAAATGGGTACAAGGCAATTTTAATAAAATGTTTATAATAAAAAAAAACATAATAAACATTTTTTACTATTTGGTCAAATACATCAATGCCATGCTTGTTTGTACCAATGTATATAGTTTTATATGTATCTAGTCATCAAATTTTTCAATTTTCAAATTGGCTTGTTCCGTAAATTTAGTGTTAACTAATCAGGTAAAGTTTCATCTGTAAAGGTTGATGATTTCTGAATAAATTACTTCATTGATCAGAAACGATGCCTTTATTTTAATTTATTTTAAGATATACCTAAAAGAGCTTGACAATTTCTATCACTTTTCATTATGCATAGTGTGTAACTTCTTTAATATGGTATGTAAATTTTTACTTTATTGTGGTCAAGGCAAATTATTGCAACTTTTAGTGTGAAAAAAAGAATATTATTGTGACTAAATATTACAAAGTTAAAAATAAATCGGGTAGAACTTTTTGTAAAATTTGAAGTTCTTTGGAAAATTTTATAAAAGTCGAAACTAAATCAAACAATTTTGAATATTGCGGTATTGTAATTACAATTTCTAAATTGATTCATAATTCAATACTAATATTAACTTCCCGTAGGGTAAGTTATAGTTATAGTAAATGAAAATGTTTGCAAATATGTTCACATTTTAGAGGTTTTAGAACATTATGGAATACTTTAGAAAAAAAATGAATGTATGCGTGTGCGTGCGTGTGTCTGTGTGTGTATGTATGTATGTGTGTGTGCGGATACAATTTTGCTTTGACGAATTCGAGTATACGGATTGACCAATTCGAATAATTCAAGAAACATTCGATTCTTATTGAAGTGCTGATTATTTTTTGAAAGGCAGTTTCAGCCGTTTCGAAGATACTGGGCCAAAAGTGCCAAAAATGGCAATTTAGCCTTTGAGAAAACAAAGTGACTAATTTTAATAATTAAAAAAACAATTTTTCTGACTGCAGATCCAGCGGTTTCGGAGATCCAAGAAAAAAAAGTTAAAAAAGTACCATTTGAGTGTCAAAAATAATCATTATACATATGCACATCAAATTATCAGATATTTTATAGAGATTTTAATAATAAGTAAAAATTTCATTTCCAATTTTTTGAGCTCCGTATAAGATTTATGATGTTTTGCGTTCACTTATATGGTACAAACAAATTTTCTCGACATTTTCGACACAATGTATAAACCTACTTGAACGAGTTTCAATATTTTCAAAAAAGTTTTTTTTTTAATTCAATTTTTTTCAAAAAGCTCAAAATTTTCAAAGAAGTCGTTTTTTTCAAAATTTTAAACTTTTGAAAATGTTTGGTACGGTACGGGAAGTTTCAGCAATTTGTCTTAATGCCCAATTCCATGGACCACTAGTTGATTTTAAAATAAAACTAAAGTTAATTATGTCATATTTTTTATTTTAAACAGTTTTGTACTGGTTCAACGACTCCAGTTACCACGATCACTTGCAGGGATAATCCCAGCGTTCCATATTGCGTTAACAACCAGTGTACTGCGGTGAAAAATGAAACCGATCCAACATGTGGGGCAGGTGGTACATGTTCAGTGAATGGCTATCAACCAGGTAAATTTATTTTAGTTCAGTTATAAAATTTATATTAATTTTTTGTTAAAGATGAGTAAAACAAGCAATCATATTATCAAGGCATATAAAAATTATATTGACTAATAAACAACTAAATATTTAAATAAGTTAATAATTGGCAAAAGACGATGGCAAAAATCCCTACGAACATACGGGCCCAAACCAACTGATGTCACTTACCAGCCATGTCTATGTGTACTATGCTCGTGACAACATAATTCGTTCGTTAAACTAAATACTTCTAAATTACTATTATTATTATTATTATTTCTTTCTTTGTTTGTTTTTTCTTTTTTTTTTTTTTTTTTGTTTTATATAACTGTTATTGTTATATTGTTAAAATTCTTAATAATTAGTTAATTAAACACTTACAATTTAAAAAACAAAAAAAATTGAGAAACATTTTTTTTTTTTTTTTTTTTTTTTTTTTTTTTTCTGAATTATTATTTTCATAAGACTGTTATTGTTAAAATACTTAATAATTAGTTAACTAAAAACTTATAATTCAAAACACTTTAAAATTGTGAAACAAAATTTTAATTTTTTTTATTTTGACTGTTATTGTTAAAATACTTAATAATTAGTTAACCAAAAACTTATATTTAAAAACACTTAAAAATTGTGAAACAAAATATTTCCTTCATCAAAATACCTAAAAATTTGTAAAATAAAAAAAAAATTGTAAAAATATTTGACAATAACAATAAAAATGATAATGATAATATTAATAATAATAATAATTACAATAATATAAGATACTTAAATTTGTTAAAATATCATAAAATAACCTAAAATTTGTTAATATTGTAAAAGTATGTATTGTAAAGCTTATTAAAATTACTTATTAAATTTTTAAAAACACTTGTAACAAACAAACTAGTTATATTTAAAGAAAAAAGAAAAAAAAAAAATATAATTAAGTAAATATAAATAGGTTTATAGTAAATAAATTAAGTAATAAAATAGCTAATAATTAATTAAATTATATTAAACCTATAAAATATTGACTTAAGCCATATTATAATATTAAATATTATACCGATGGCTTGTAAAATTAATAAATAAATAAATAAATAAATAAATATAATAAGAAATTAAAAATGTTTAATATATTTAATAGAACAGAAACTGTTACGTAAATGGAAAATATATTTTAAATTTGCAATTCTGATAATATTTAAAAAAAAGCTCTAGGAAGGAAACAATAGTTTTTGTCACGCAGTGGAATTATTTTACAATAATAGAAGCTTAATAGGACATGCACAAACTTTTATTGTTAAAAGTCTGGTCTGTTTTCACTATAAAGATCATCTACTACATGATGAAGATAACGATTTGGACTAAAAACATTAACATTAACATTAACAATTTGTCTCAATAGATTATATATGACATTAATTTATTCAAACGCTGAGTGATTCTTTCAATTTTAGTTTAGATTTAGGTTCTTAACTTACAATTAGTAATAGTTATAGTAATCGCAAAAAAAGTCGAAAATAAAAATTTTCAATTATCTTTACGTTTCAAAACCTTCTGATCTTTTTGGCAAAAAAGTAAATAAGAATGCCATTCAGCAGTCAAAAAAGATTATTAGACATTAGCATATGAAATTATCAGGTATTATTAACTTCCCGTAGGGCAAGTTATAGTAATCGCAAAAAAATCGAAAATGAAAATTTTTATATATCTTTACGTTTCAGAGGTTTCTGAACATTTTGGCATACCTTAGAAAAAATGGATGTATGTGTGTGTGTGTGTGTGTGTGTGTGTATGTGTGTGTGTATGTATGTATGTATGTGTGTGTATGTATGTGCGGATACAAATTTTCGTCGACGATTTCGGGAACACGGGTCAACCGATTTGAATAATTCAAAAAACATTCGATTCGTATTGATAAGGAGACGTGCTGATTAGTTTTTGGCGAAGGCAGGTCTAGCCGTTCCAAAGATACGGGACAAAAAGTGCCGAAAACGGTAGCTCAGTTTTTGAGAGAACGGAGCGTCCGATTTGAATAATTCAAAAAACATTTCACTTGTATTGACAAGATGAAGAGTCGATAAAATTTTCATGAAGGTAGGTCTAGCGGATTCGGAGATATGGAGGAAAAAGTAAAAAAATGAGCCATTTGGCGGTCAAAAATGATCATTAGACATATGCTCATAAAATTATCAGATATTTTATAGAGATTTTAACAAAAAGTATACAATTTGTTAACATTCCTATGGGTTCCGTACCAATGCTTATGCTTTAGACAGCGACGCGGCGCTTACGCGCTTTATATTTTGTCCCTATGCAGTTAAAGCAGTACGATTGATTGCTTTGAAAAGAAAGTTCAGATCTTCCACAATATGTCAAAATAAAAAAAAAAAAATTTTCAAAAAAAAAAATTTAAAAAAAATTTTTTTTTTTTTAAATTTTTTTCAAAAAAAAGTAATTTTTTGTCCAATTTATAGTTTCGCAAAAATCTTATTTTTTCAAAGTAATTTTTTTTTTCAAAAATGTTAATCGTTTTTAAAAAAATAATAATTTTTGGTACGGGAAGTTCCAGCAATTTGCCTTAAGGCACGATGCCTTAATTGCCTTAAGACAGAATTCCACTTACAGCTAGTTTTAAGATTTTAATAATAAGTACAAATTTTGTACATTTCTGAGTTCCGTAATAATGTTTAACCGTTAGACTGCTACGCTGCGCAGCAAAACACAGCGGGATGGCTCTGAAAAAAAGTTCAAAATTTTCAATAAAAAAATTTTTCAAAAAAGACAATATTCTAAAAATATGTCTATTTTTCAAAAATTATATTTTTCCTAGTTTTTAACAAGAAATTAAATTTAAATTTTGGTACGAGAAGTTCAAGCAATTTGTCTTAAGGAACGATGCCACGCACCACTAGTTAAATTTTAGAATGTTTCCTGAATTTTTATGATTATGGAAATAGAATTTCGACTAGATTTTTCTCATTTATAAATATTGAAAAAAAAATTATATGCGTGTAGACTAGCGACATCACTTAATATAATTATAATTTCTTTATATAATCTACAATTATTTTGCATACAGATCCCAAGGATTGCTCGAGGTACATATATTGCAACAATGGCGAATCAACCGTCTACGAATGTCCATCCTCGTATGTGTACGACCACTCCACAAATCTGTGCAAGAAACAAAGTTCGCCAGCCGATTGCGCGGTAATGAATTGCACGACACCAAATTCTTTCGTGACCTATTCTCCAGATAAATCCATTTACGCCTGGTGTAACGAAAGATTAGAACCTATAGTCTTGAAATGCGAAGACGAAGTCAACGAATGGTTTGATGTTAAAACTTCTTCCTGCAGGTACCCCGCTTATGATAATTTTATATATATATATATATATATATATATATATATATAGCATGCCCCATTACTATATATATATACATATATATATATATATATATATATATATATATATGTACATATAGTGAAATGGACAGAAGTGTTTTTATTTTTGGTTGTAAAATGGTTAAAAATGAAAATATTTTCTTAATTTTTTTTGTAGTTGTAAGGGTACTCCAAAATGCAACTTTTTATCATAGCAGATGCTTGCAATTATGTTTGGAAGTATCTCTTTTTTTGAATGGCAAAAAAGTGTATTTAACGTGTTTTTCGAAAATGTAATGAGAAGTGGGCCACCCAAATTTTTATCTGAAAAAATGCTACTATATGCTTCAAATTCTTACTCAGAGTTTTCAAATATACTGATTACGAATCTGTTGTCAAATTTACAAAATTCAAAATCGTTAAATCGAAATAAAGGGTAGAAATTGAAAAAACAGTGACTTCAGTAAAAATGTTCATTTAAATTCTGAAAAGAAGTAATAATGTTGGTATGATAAAATTTTTGAAAAAAAAAATATTTTGCAACAATCAAGTACAGATTCTAGGCGTAATTGGTGCACGTCAAGTCGGTGCAGTTGGTCATATCCACGCGCTTCAATTGGAAGGGTTTGTCGTAGTTATCGCACTCGAAGGAGTTTTTTTTGACAGCTATGCCAACATCAATCTATTGCAAATCATTCCAAAATCGTTGTCTTCACTTGAAGAAATCGTAGAATTTCATTTTTTGCATTTTTCACAGCTGATTATGAAGTATTGGCCTTCTTGGAAACTTTCGCTGGTACTTGCAATATTTGACCCTGTGCTGCTTCTGCCGCGACCTTTCTGTTTTTAGGAGATGTATTGAGGCGTTGAAAAGATAATCTGCTAACGTTGGTAACAGCTGAAGCAACACGCTCCGATATTTTATTTATTTTCACTTCCTTCAAAGCAATAATCAACTATTCATAATTCACCACATTTTTTGAGTGTTTTGTTTTCTTAGGAGGCATTATGACTGAAGAGATAAAAATAAGTAAATAAGACGTTCGATTAATTAATAAAAATATTTTACTGTGCACATAACGGCATTGCGCAAGTGGCCCATGTCTGTCCACAAATAGTGGCCCTCTTCTATCAACAAACGCCTTTTTTGCATATGCATCCCACAAAAACACAATGTAAATAATTGGCAAAAATTACTTTGCATTTCAAAGATTATATATCTACATAATATATTGCATTTTTACTACTAATTTTTTCGTGAAAATTCGATGACAAATCACGTAAGAGCGTACGACGCTAAAAACTTTCTCAACGAAATTCTTAGCGCGTTTCTCTGTACAGTGCGAGAGTAGATTTATTACCTCCAAATGCTTTTTAAAATTGAGCAAGTATCAGAATATGATAAATATGTGCGCGGATCGACATACATGTCACTAGTCTTAGAGTTATTCTGCTGGCCCACTCCAACCTGTGGCCCACGTCTGTCCACTTTACCCTATATATATATATATATATATATATATATATATATATATATAAATGGTCATTTTCAAATTTCTTTGCTCCCAGGGGCTCAAATGGTTCCAAATAGATAAAAAACAATTCTCTGAAAGTTTTAGCTCTTAATATTAACATTTAGATAGAGCGCAATTCTATCAAAGTTTTGTATGGAAATAGCATGAAAAAATTTTCAAAAATTTTAAAAATGTTTTTTAGATGTAATTTAGCAAACAAATGAATGAATAAAACTCATTCATTTGTCACTAAGTTATACCTAACACATTTTTTTTAATTTTCAAATTTTTTTCCATGCTCTTTCCATACAAACTTTGACTGAATTGCGCTCTATCTAAATGTTAATATTAAGAGCTAAAACTTTCAGAGAATTGTTTTTTATCTATTTGGAACCATTTGAGCCCCTGGGAGCAAAGAAATTCGAAAATGACCATTTTAAGGACCAACCTAATATATATATATATATATATATATATATATATATATATATATATATATATATATATATATATATATTTATATATATATATATATATATATATATATATATATATATATATATATATATATATATATATAGGGTACATGAATATTATTACCGAAAATACCCCAAGATTACCAAGTTTACTTTAAGTAGTTATAATTTCAATATCTTGTGCCAAAATATTTTTGCTTATTTTACTTATTGTAAAAGTAGTCTTTTTTAATATAATAAGAAATAAACAATTTTATGAGCAATGCTCATAAACCACGATAGTTCTTGTAATTACGCAGTAAATGTGATTCATAAGATATAAAATTCAACTAAAACAACCTATATTAAAGAAAAGCTTATCGAAAAATGCGCTTATAAATGCGTACCGAAATGATAGTTATTTACGTAATTTACGAGCATAGCCAGCGTACGATATTCGGGTCAGAAGCGAATATTACGCATTTCGAGCATGGCCAGGTATGGTGAACACAAGTATTATAAAATATTTATTCATACAAAACTATAAAACGCAAAATTATTTTTATTTTTGTGATAAACCGTACACTATGAGGGAATAGTCACAACGCATCGCCAGCTTGAACAACTTTGGGCCGACATTTTCGAATCTAAATTGTAAGTTAAGGGGTTAAATTTTTTGTACAAACTATCTGGAAAGTAGGGAAACTAGGGGCTATCTGTAACAGGGAGTAACAGGCGTTTTTCAATATGATTTTAAATGATATTAAAATTTTGGACATGTAACCCGTTCTGTATATTATTTGATATTTTTGACATGTAATATATAATTATTCTATCATGAAATTTCGGATTGCTTTATTATTATCGACTAATTTAAAACTTTTTATAACTTAATTTGCTTCAAATTTATCAATCTTTGATAATGTGTAACAATTTTTGTGATTTCTAAATTGTTTAAATAGTTATCTTGATTAATGTGAAAAAAATCACATAAAGGGTTAGTTGGAACAAAATTTCGAGGCTAGTTGTAACATACAAGAATTATATACAGATTGAAGTGAAGAATATTGAATGAAATATATAGTTTAAAAGATGTGAGCACATGTAAATTGTTTTACAGGAGGCACTATATCTTTTATTAATTGCAGTTTACTTTAACATTGTATTAATTGCAGTTTACTTTGATTTATAAGAATTTCTATGGCATGACACACCATAGTTGTATATGTATTAATTATAGTTTACGCTGATTTATGAAAAGAATTACTAAGGCAACATGACATTTTTCACTAAAAGAACATATTATCAGTATTATTGTCATTTTTTGCCGTTACTAGTTGCTCCGGACTTATTCTACAAAATGATTAATTGTGAAATATTGAACAACATTGAAATTAAACTAATTGTATCGGATTTGGTAGAGGAATAGTTATTGCATCTATTCATATTTATATAGATAGATATATTAATTTAAAAAGACGGTTACAACAAGCCCTTAGCTCTCCTATTTGTTTTCAATATTTTTACATGATAGAAAGCCACAGAAAAATTATTTGAAGTAATATTCTACTTCTATCTATAATTATTCGTAAATGAATAGAAAACATTATCTACCAAGTTATTTTTTCAGCAATTGTGTAGTTTTTGGATTAACGATTTCATAATACATATATATTTAAGTCAATCGATATAGATATAATAGAAAAAACATTTGAATTTATACTAAATAACTCATATTACTTCTCCGTTAATTCCATTTTTTTTTTAATTTAAGAATCGTGTGCAGAAAAGAAGGAGTATTCCCTGATCGCAGAGATTGTACAAAATATCATCAATGCTTTGTCGTAGGTATAGATTGGAAAATTAAACATTATCAATGTCCCAAAGGATTATTCTTCGATCCTGAGAAATTACGGTGTGTTTCTGGAACATGCACACCCGAAATCACTGAACCTACCGCAGCCCCTGAACCTGAACCTGAACCTGAACCTGAACCTGAACCTGAACCTGAACCTGAACCTGAACCTGAACCTGAACCCAAACCTGAACCCGAACCCGAACCCAAACCTGAACCCGAACCCGAACCCGAACCCGAACCCGAACCCAAACCCGAACCCGAACCCGAACCCAAACCCGAACCCGAACCCGAACCCAAACCCGAACCCAAACCATAACCTTTAACTAATTGTAAGCATTATGATTGAATTCGAAGAAACCACTTTTATTAAATATATTTAGTTCTAGAACATAATATTTAATACTATGTATAGATTAATGAAATTATTACTGGATCTAAATAATCATGTAGCTTTAGAAAAAAATAAAGTTCTGTTGATCTGGAAGTTCAGATATCTATTTTTAAACGATACATTTTGCATAAAGATGTCGAAATGAAATTCCAGAAAGTGTAATTCTAAATATTATTTAGCCCGGTCGAATTAAACCTAAAATCAGGGTGAAAGGTACAATAATTCATAATGGGCTCTAACTTGGTAAAATTGTAAAAGAAATATCAAAAGTCCTCATCGTTCCGGTGCGAACTAAAAAATTGGCAGGTCAAAGGTCAAAAACATGCATTTTTTACGATTTTCAGCTAAATGGTCAGTTTTATCGCAAAATTATGGCATAACAATAGAGAAAAAGACAATACAATTAAGAAACAACTGTAAAGCAAAAAATTATTTACAAAAAATGTATCAATACTTTTTGCTATTTCAAACTAATATTTGTGAATTTGGATTGGTAAAAAAACTTTTAGTCCACATTTTAGCTCACAACTCTGAAGCAAAATCTATTCGAAATATATTGGTTGGGAATGAAGTGATTAGTTTTAGGTAAAAATCGATTGAGCCGTTTTCTTGTAATTAACTGTCTGAAAAAAATTTTTTGTTGATTTTTATCAAACTTTTTTTGATTGATATCATTGTTTTCTAGAACATACTTAAATGCTACGACAAGTAGTGTAATTTTAAACATTTATCAAAATTTGATGAAATATTATAGTAAAAATGTGTGTCAAAAGTTGCTTTTGGAATGTGATAAGTCATTCAAGTCAATTAAAAATATGGCTTTAGAATTAGTAGAAAAAGTAAATGAACAGTCTACAAAACTTCTCTAGTGTTTTAAAAAATGTTACAAATCATTAAATAACATCTAGGACTACGTACGTGATATACGTAATCGTACCAGTATTTTCTTATAGCAGATGCTTAATATTTCTCAAAATTAAATTTTTCATGAACATTAACATGGCGATAAAGTTCATGCACTAAACAGTCCTACGAAAATTGGTTGAATTATGTAAATCAATTTTGGAACAATAAGCTACAATTTTAGGACATGCAAACATACGTGCACTATAATTAATACAATCACAGATAATTTAAATGCGTTTGAGAAAATTCAATTAGAAATCGCAATGTTTAGATTTAATTGAAATCTAAAACTTGATCGAAATAAACAGTTGAAAATGTTATCTAAATGTCTAAATCTCATTTTCGGTTGATTAAGTCAATTATTACTCCTATCGGGAAATTTATGCAACTTGCCTTAAGGCAAAATGCCTCTTTCAACTAGTATATGTTTTATATTGCGACGACCTTATCGCACAAAACACTTATATATTATATATTATGTATGTTTACAAGAAACAAACAAAACTATATCAACTCGAGTTTGAATGAAGGCTTCCTAAGGGAAAGCCTTATTTTATTTTTATAAAAATTATATAAAATACCGTTACAATTTCAATCTCAATATATCATTTTTATTTCAATTCATTCTTTTCTTTTAATAAAAATTTTGAAAAAAATTGGTCATTTTTGAAAATTGTGAAACATTTCAAAAAAATGTTAAAAACTAAAATTAAGATTTTTATTTTAGAATTTTTAAAATGTTACAAGAAAATTATTTTTGGAATTATTCTAACTCTCGAAAATGTCGATGAATATTTGTACATACAAACATACACACACATACAGACACAAACATATAATCTTTGAAACGTAAATTTATACAAAAAATTTCATTTGCGGGTAGTTAATAAACAGTAGAAAATGTTATTTAAATAGCTTAATCTTAATTCTTCTTGTATAAGTATATTATTTTCATAACCTTAAAATATGCTAACAACTTGAGTTAGTTTAGTTTTTTTGTTTTGAAATTTTTATTGCATTATGTGGGATATAATACAACATACATAATTTTGTACATATTTTTCTACCTGGTCAAGATTTGACCAGGGCTTTTTATTTAACCGGGACCCTTCGGGGTAGGGGGTACAATTATATGAGTATAAATACCTGTAACATATAATAATAAGCGAGTCTAGCAAATGTAATAAGAGAAGAAGGTTGTAGAGAGTAGTTCAATATATGTCATAAATTAAATAGTGGTTTTATTCACATCTTCTTATGGTGATGAAATATTTATAGTTTACAGTCCACACAATATCAAATTAATCAAAGTGATCCTCACCATAATTGGTCCATTTCGAGCCGAATTTTAGATCAAAATTGGTCACATTAAGCCAAATTTTAGATCATAAATTGTTGATCTGATCCGAATATAAAAACTACAAGTGGAATAATATACTGTGATTTGTGATTTTGATCTCGTGCTATATTGAGTCGTGTAGTGGTTTGTTGTATGTCATCACGGATTTGAGACAATCGGTCCGTTCGAGAACCCGACTGGAGCAAATTGCTAGCCAATATAGCATTTCAATACAACTCTTCAAGATCTCAAAGGACGACTGCTGCGTATTGTTTAGAACTATTAACAATACTGCGTACGCATAGCTGGTTCCTGCAGGAAGTTTATTCAACCATTGGAAGCAGATTTATCTTGGCCACTAGTTGTCGGATGCTGCAAATGGACACTCCTCCAGAGAAATATCAGCTAAGTCGATTTATTTGCTAGATTTCTATTGATTCTTATTATTTCTGTTTTACCAGAATAATATTTTATGGATTTTGCTTCATTTGTCGAGCATACAACATTAATGTCTTGACCGAAATAGTCTTATCATAGGGATATTGTTAATAATTCAATAGTATTAGTGAATATTTTTATTATTCTTTACCTTGATTGTCAAGTGCTTTGTTGGAATAATTGTTGAAAATGTTGTAATTGAAAATTTTGAGATACTAGTCTGAATATTATATATTAGATGTCATTTAATTGCCATATATAATACATAATTTAGTAAAATCAATTGTAACAGTTAACGCGTCCCATAACATTTCGGTAAAATTATTTTCATAAGTATTAAATTATAATTATTATTTTTAATATTTTTCGAGTTTTTGTGATATTTAATCAAAATGGCAGAATTAAAAAGGTTATTATATAAACGCCAAAATATTAAAATTAAATTTGAAAAAACCTTGAGTAGGGATCTTCAAGGAGAGCCTACAAATTTATTAAACGTTTTAAAAACGCGGCATGAAAAAGATTATTTTAATTTTGAAAATATACAAGATTCAATTAATGAATTATCTGATGAGCACACTTCAGAAGCGCAAGTGATCGATGATTTATATATAGAGGTAATCTTTAAATTAGAACGTTTGTTAAGCACAATTTCAGAGCCCGTTAATAAGAAAAATGTAGATAGCGAACCGCAAATAAAGTTGCCCGACATTTCGATACCAAAATTTGACGGATCGTACAAAAATTGGGTAGGGTTTAAAGAATTAGTTTATGCAACGATTCACAATAATAATAGTTTGTCTAACGTACAGAAATTTTATTATTTAAAAGGACATTTGATCGGAGAAGCCGCAGAAGCAATTAATAATTTGCAATTGAGTGACAGTAATTACCAGATAGCGTTAGATTTATTATGCGCGAAATTTGAGAATGTTTGCCTAATTACTTATTCTTATTTACAAGCATTAACTGATTTACCTTCATTGTCTAAACTAAATTCATCAAACATAAAATCTTTTTCTAATAACGCTCAGCAAATTATTAATTCGCTTAAGGCTATTAACACTAATGTAGATAATTGGGATCAGTTATTAGCCTTCTTATTATTGAATAAATTTGACATAAATACTAGGGTTAAATTTAATAGTTGCAGATGCCAAAAACAGTTACCGACGGTGTTGGAAATTTTCACGTTTTTAGACCAACAAAGAACGGCATTGGAAATATCACAAGGAATAAATTTAAATACCTTAAATAAATACAACTCTACAGAGAGGAAATCCTTATTGTCCCGATCAAATAATGTTGACAATGCATGCGTTTTATGCAATAATAATCATTATTTAGTAAATTGCTCCAAATTTCTTTCTATGGCATTATCTGATCGAGAGAATTTTATTAGCGGCAACGGATTATGTTCTAATTGTTTGCAAAGGGGACATTTACGACATAAATGCTTTAAAAGGTATAGATGTGGGATATGTTCTCAGAAACATCATAGTTTGCTCCATAAAGATAAGCAAATAAATATTAATCGGCCAGGTATAGACGAACCCGACAATGCTAGCAATACGTCTAATACGGTTATGAATACAAATCTCGCGACGGGGGGTGCGTTCTTACCTACAGTAAATTTGTTTGCGAAAGGTAATAATGGAAGCCGTGTTAAAATTCGGTTCATAAAATTATTATTCGCAAAACACAATACGAAAATTTTAAACCATTAATAGAATCGATTAAATCAAATACAGGTGTTAAAACTACAGATAGATTTTTACTTCAGTTAAACCCATTTTTAGATGAAAATAATATCTTAAGAGTAGGGGGGCGACTAGAGAATGCGAATATTCCATATAATCAAAAACATCCAATAATATTGCCGAGTAAAAATCATATAACAAATTTAATCTTATTACAAGAGCACCAGAGGCTGCTGCACGCAGGTGTACAAACGGTTCTTGCAAATATTCGATTACGTTTCTGGCCTATAAATGCGAGAAACACGATCAAACATATTATTAAAAATTGCGTTAGGTGTCATCGATACAATTGTCGTCCTGTACAACAAATTATGGGAAATTTACCGAGTGACAGGGTTAGTCATTCCAGGCCCTTTGTAATCACCGGCGTAGACTATGCCGGACCTATTACACTTCGTGCAAGCCGATTGCGCAAGGTTCAACGATTAAAAGCTTATATTGCGGTATTTATTTGTTTCAGTACTAAGGCAATTCATTTAGAG